TCACGCTCTCTGTAGCCGATGTGAGTAAGACTATTAAGCAGGTCAACATTCACAAGACCGCAGGGCCAGACGGATTACCAAGACGTGTACTCCGAGCATGCGCTGACCAACTGGAAAGTGTCTTCACTGACATTTTCAAAATGTCCCTGACTGAGTCTGTAATACCAACATGTTTCAAGCAGACCACCATAGTCCCTGTGCCCAAGAACACTAAGATAACCTGCCAAAATGACTACCAACCCGTAGCACTCACGTCTGTAGGCATGAAGTGCTTTGAAAGGCTGGTCATGGCTCACATCAACACCATTATCCCAGAAACCCTAGACCCACTCCAATTTGCATACCGCCCCAACAGATCCACAGATGATGGAATCTCTATTGCACTCCACACTGCCCTTTCCCACTTGGACAAGAGGAACATCTACAGTACGTGAGAATGCTATTCATTGACTACAGCTCAGCATTCAACACTATAGTGCCCTCAAAGCTCATCACTAAGCTAAGGACCCTGGGACTAAACACCTCCCTCTGCAACTGGATCCTGTACTTCCTGACGGTAAGGGTAGGTAACAACACATCTGCCACGCTGATCCTCAACACAGGGGCCCCTTAGGGGTGCGTTCTCAGTCCCCTCCTGTACTCCCTGTTCACCCATGACTGCATGGCCAGGCACGACTCCAACACCATCATTAATGTTGCAGACGACACAACAGTGGTAGGCCTGATCACCGACAACGATGAGACAGCCTATAGGGAGGAGGTCGGAGACCTGGCCGTGTGGTGCCAGGATAACAACCTCTCCCTCAACGTGATCAAGACAAAGGAGATGATTGTGGACTACAGGGAAAAAAAGAGGAATGAGCACTTTTCATTTTCATCGACGGGGCTGTAGTGGAACATGTTCCTTGATGTCCACATCACCAACAAACTATCATGATCCAAACACACCAGGACAGTCGTGAAGAGGGCACGACAAAGCCTATTCCCCCTCAGGAGACTGAAAAGATTTGGCATGGGTCCTCAGATCCTCAATAAGTTCTACAGCTGCACCATCGAGAGCATCCTGACTGGTTGCATCACCGCCTGGTATGGCAACTGCTAGGCCTCCGACCGCAAGGCACTACAGAGAGTACTGCGTACGGCCCAGTACATCACTGGGGCCAAGCTTCCTGCCATCCAGGACCTCTATACCAGGCGGTGTCAGAGGAAGGCCCTAAAAATTGTCAAAGACTCCAGCCACCCTAGTCATAGACTGTTCTCTCTGCTATCGCATAGCAAGCGATACCGGAGCGCCAAGTCTAGGTCCAAAAGGCTTCTTAACTTTTTTTTATTTTTATTAAAACTGCATTGTTGGTTAAGGGCTTGTAAGTAAGCATTTCACTGTATGTGGCAAATAAAATTTGATTTGACTACGCAAGTAACCATTTCAGGTGCATTCGTAAATTCAGTCTGAATATGCAAGAGCGCAGAAAAACTGATGAATTTACGAACGCACAACACCCGTTGAATATGGCCGTTGTCAGTAAACTTTGGCAAAAAAGCATAATTAAATTGTTGCCAGCAGAGCTGGTTAGGCGGTTTTCATGTTATCCAGAGGTAAACATTGAACCATAATCCCAACTTTGTATCTGAAAGTAAATAGCAAGCTAGCCAATGTTAGCAAGTTAGCTTGGGTGCTTGACTGCCGTTGTGAGGTCAGAACGCTCGGATCAATCCTACTCATCGGCCAGAGCGTCAAGTGTGCGCAATGAACGCTCCGAGAGCAAAACGAGATGGGTGGGGCTAAAGCAAGAGGGTGTGAACTATGCTGAACGGGTGTAGACAAAGAAGAGCTCTTCACTAGGTACCAAAACATTCACAGGCCATTTTATCAAAAGTGAGATTACAAATGTATCAACATTCAAAGCACAATTACTTTCCCATTGTTCCCTTAGATGCAGTGTATGATATACCATTTTGTAGCTCTGTGTATATGCTTTTATCCAATGTAAAAAAAAATAAAAAACACATTTTGCTACATAAGACCGAATCAAGGCGGTCGGTCACAAATGTATTTAAAAAAACAGAAATATTACATTTTTATATAGTACCAGTCAAAGGTTTGGACACACCTACTCATTCAATAGTTTTTCTTAATTTTTACTATTTTCTACATTGTAGAATAATAGTGAAGACATCAAAACTATGAAATAACACATATGAAATCATGTAGAAACCAAAAAAGTGTTAAACAAATCAATATATATTTTATATTTGAGATTCTTCAAAGTAGCCACCCTTTGCCTTGATGACAGCTTTGCACACTCTTGGCATTCTCTCAACCAGCATCGTGAGGTAGTCACCTGGAATGCATTTCAATTAACAGGTGTGCCTTCTTAAAAGTTAATTTGTGGAATTTATTTCCTTCTTAATGCGTTTGAGTCAATCAATTGTGTTGTGACAAGGTAGGGGTGGTACACAGAAGATAGCCCTATTTGGTAAAATACCAAGTCCATATTATGGCAAGAACAGCTCAAATAATCAAAGAGAAACGACCAGTCCATCACTACTTTAAGACATGAAGGTCAGTCAATCCAGAAAATGTCAAGAACTTTGAATGTTTCTTCAAGTGCAGTCGCAAAAACAATCAAGCGCTATGATGAAACTGGCTCTCATGATGACCGCCACAGGAAAGGAAGACCCAGAGATCAAGTAACAGACACATCTCAACATCAACTTTTCAGAGGAGACTGCGTGAATCAGGCCTTCATGGTCAAATTTCTACAAAGAAACCACTACTAAAGGACACCAATAAGAAGAACAGACTTGCTTGGCCCAAGAAACACGAGCAATGGACATTAGACCGGTGGAAAACTGTCCTTTGGTCTGATGAGTCTAAATTTGAGATTTTTGGTTCCAACCCAGAGTAGGTGAACGGATGATCTCCGCATGTGTGGCTCCCATCGTGAAGCATGGAGCAGGAGGTGTGATGGTGGGGGGTGCTTTGCTGGTGACACTGTCTGTGATTTATTTAGAATTCAAGGGACATTTAACCAGCATGGCTACCACAGCATTCTGCAGCGATACGCCATCCCATCTGAATTGCGCTTAGTGGGACAATAATTTGTATTTCAACGGACAATGACCCAACACACCTCCAGGCTGTGTAAGGGCTATTTGACCAAGAAGGACAGTGATGGAATGCTGCATCAGATGACATGGCCTCCACAATCACCCGACCTCAACCCAGTTGAGATGGTTTGGGTTGATTTGGACCGCAGAGCGAAGGAAAAGCAGCCAACAAGTGCTCAGCATATGTGGACTGTTGGAAAAGCATTACAGGTGAAGCTGGATGAGAGAATGCCAAGAGTGTGCAAAGCTGTCATCAAGGCAAAGGGTGGCTACTTTGAATAATCTAAAATATATTTTGAACACCTTTTTGGTTACTACATGATTCCATATGTGTTATTTCATAGTTTTGATGTCTTCACTATTATTCTACAATGTAGAAAATAGTAAAAATAAAGAAAAACCTTTGAATGAGTAGGTGTGTCCAAACTTTTAACTGTTACTGTAAGTATTCAGACCCTTCACTCAGTACTCTGTTGAAGCACCTTTGGCAGCAATTACAGCCTCTAGTCTTCTTGGGTTTGACGCTACAAGCTTGGCACAACTGTATTTGGGGGGTTTCTCCCATTCTTCTCAGCAGATCCTCTCAAGCTCTGTCAGGTTGGATGGGGAGCGTTGCTGCACAGCTATTTTCAGGTCTCTCCAGAGATGTTTGATCGGGTTCAAGTCCGGGCTCAGGCTGGGCCACTCAAGGACATTCAGAGACTTGTCCCGAAGCCACTCCTGCGTTGTCTTGGCTGTGTGCTTAGGGTCGTTGTCCTGTTGGAAGGTGAACCTTCGCCCCAGTCTGTGGTCCTGAGCGCTCTGGAGCAGGTTTTCATCAAGGATCTCTCTGTACTTTCCTCCGTTCATCTTTCCCTCGATCCTGACTAGTCTCCCAGTCCCTGCCACTGAAACACATTCCCACAGCATGATGCTGCCACCACCATGCTTCACCGTAGGGATAGTTCCAGGTTTCCTCCAGACGTGACGCTTGGCATTCAGGCCAAAGAGTTCAATCTTGGTTTTATCAGACCAATGAATCTTGTTTCTCATGGTCTGAGAGTCCTTTAGGTGCCTTTTGGCAAACTCCAAGCGGGCTGTCATGTGCCTTTTACTGAGGAGTGGCTTCCGTCTGGCCACTCTACCATAAAGGCCTGATTGGTGAAGTGCTGCTGAGGAATCTCCACAGAGGAACTCTGGAGCTCTGTCAGAGTGACCATCGGGTTTTGGTCACCTCTCTGACCAAGACCCTTCTCCCCCGATTGTTCAGTTTGGCTGGGCGGCCAGCTCTAGGAAGAGTTTTGGTAGTTCCAAACTTCTTCCATTTAAGAATGATGGAGGCCACTGTGTTCTTGGGGACCTTCAATGCTGCAGACATTTTTTGCTACCCTTCCCCAGATCTGTGCCTCGACACAATCCTGTCTCCAAACTCTACGGATAATTCCTTTGACCTCATGGCTTGGTTTTTGCTCTGACATACACTGTCAACTGTGGGACCTTATATAGACAGGTGTGTAACTTTCCAAATCATGTCCAATCAATTGAATTTACCACTCAAATCAAGTTGTATAAATCTCAAGGATGATCAATGGAAACAGGATGCACCTGAGCTCAATTTCGAGTCTCATAGCAAAGGGCCTGAATAGGTATATATATATATTCTTTTTCTAAAAACCTGTTTTAAAACTATTTAACTAACAATTCATCAGTCGTATGGTTTGGGGTTGGAAGCTGTTCAGGGTCCTGTTGGTTCCAGACTTGGTGCAGCAGTACCGCTTGCCATGTGGTAGCAGAGAGAACATTGTTCAGGGCCTTCCTCTGACACCGACTGGTATAGAGGTCCTGGATGGCAGGTCATATGGTTCACTGTATGGGGTCACCGAGGAATCAAGGGTCAGAGGTCAACTCACCTGGCGTGGGGTGTGAGGCTCCTGGTAGCTGGGGAGGATCTTGAGCACCACGCTGCCGCTGGCCTCTTTCAGCATCTGCTGGAGCACCTTGGGGTCATTGCCCACCTCTTTCGCGTTCACCTCCTTGATAATGTCACCCACGTGGAGGAGGCCCTGCTGGTCGATCATCCCACCGTGGAGGATGCGGGCGATCACCAGCTCTCCGCTCTCCACCCGAAATGTCACACCCTACAAAGACAAAGATGTAACAGTGTATTTTACATTGCAGTTTCCATTGGTTTTTAACTACCTGAGCTGAGTCAAAGAAGAGTAAAACATCCATGATCATGAGTGGAAGGACTACCAAAGGTTAAACAAGGACCGCCATTTTGTTTTTCAGTTTCATAAAGAACCACACTCACAAACTCAACAAACAGTTGCACTGTAAGCCACTGTAAAGTAAGCCATTTCAAAATGGCTGTTAGGGTGTCCAGCATTTCTTGCCCCTCACTGAGTCTTACCAGGTGCTCTCCAGACACCTTGCGGATGCCCACCATCCTGACTGCGTCTGGGGCTACAGGCTGGTTGTTGAAGGCAGCGTCCATGAAGGAACAGGGGCTTGGAGGAGGAGTCTCAAAGGTCTTGGACGCCACCGAATCATGGGTTTCCAGGAGAGACTGTGGACCAATAGGGGCAGAGGATAATGATGTTGATGATTGCATGACACATACTGTAGGATGGAATTGTTCTAGTAAGATTTACAACTGATCTTAAGAAGATTGCATTCGATACATTAAACACAGTAGCATGCCATCCAACGGTAGCTACATCAGTTAGGTCAGTTTCCCCTCAATAAGGTAAAGTTATTTGAGAATGGGTAAAAAAAAACTCAGTGTGGAAGTCTCACAGTAGGAGTGCTGATCTAAGATCAGTTTGGCCATTCAGATCATAATGAATAAGATTACATGGACAGGAGGGACATTATCCTAGATCAGCCCTGATAAAAGCTAAAACATTGAGTGTTTAGACCTGGAAGTGTGGCTCCTTCAGTATGCGTGCCAGTTCGTCTGCAGCCTTGTTCCTGTGTGTGAGGGGAGTGAGCTCCTTCAGGATGTCCTGCACCAGCTCCAAGTTGTTGTCACTCACCGCCTCCAGCTTGGACTCCTCCAGGTTCTCATGGGCCTGAGGGTAGTAGGGAGATGGGAACTGAAGGTAAAAAAACGTTATTGTTAATAACTAGCAATCTTTGTTGGTAATTTTAGCCTATACTATTTAGCAGACACTTTTATCAAAAGCGACATACATTTTTGTATTCAAACCCACAACCCTGGCGTTGCTAGCACCATGCTCTTACCAACTGTGCCACACAGGACCATTAGTACCAAATCAGAGCCAATTAGTGCCAAATCTCACAACGTACTTAGGCCATACTTATAAGCGCAAATAGTCACAGAGTATTCACTATTCACTCAGTTATCGTCTAGCAATAAAGTCACTGTACTGTAAAAAGACGGGAAACCCCAAAATAAACACACAGTACAACTCCCATTCAGAAACAAACAAATGTGTCAGAAGATACACATCTGCCCTAAAACAGTCAAATACGCAGTGTGTTTTCTCCCTGTGCTGTGGAGCATCAATATTTTAGTTTTTTATGAATATTTCACTTCGTCTCTCGTATCGAGGGCACTGGGCCTTCTTTACTGAACATGCCCTCACCTTTTCACACAACTGGCCTCTGGCCCACCGCCCATGTGGAACTAGTGAACTGAATGATAATGTGTTCCCGCCCATCAATCTCCAAATGTTTATTTGTGGCTCCCATTAACAGCAAACCCTTTAATTAATTTAGACGTTTGAAACGCTGCATAGTGCTTCAATGGTTTAACCTTATATCAATTTATACTGTCTTAAACCATTAGATAAACCAGCAGATACATAGGTAAGTACAGTGTAATTACAGTGTTGATTCAAATTAGCACCAGATAAATTAATGAGAACACTAAGAAGACTACTCAAATAAGGATCTCTATGCATAGCCATTACAATATGCTGCTGCATAGACTATAAATATAGATCATATACAATTTACCATTCTACTATCCTGCTACATTACTCCCAAACAGATACAAATATCCATGTTGTTTTGTGGGTAGATTCACAGAGACAGTCAATCCCACAAAGACATACTCCCATGGGCCTGTTGTCTAATCTCTGATCTGGCAGCCATGGGCTGTTTGTTTACGTGAGGGAAGGGATCGCACCCCTGCTGTTAAACAGGATGGACAGAAAGAAAACACACAGACAGACACTCTCACACACACACACAAAGAGAAAGAGAGACAGACACACACACACATAGCCACACTGTGTAGGACTGTGCAGGAAGACTGGGTTTATTCAATGTGCATTGGCAAGGGTGGTGGCAAGGCTGGTGGAGAAAGCTTTCAGAGAGTGGCCCTTGGAAAGCAGAACAACACAGCCAAAGGCAGGTTATGCCCCATATAATAGCTACCTTTGCTCTTTGCTGTTGTTGTCTGGCTTTGTTAGCTACTTCACAGGCAAATTGAAAATATATTATGGGAGCATTGACAAAACAAACAGAGAGAGAACTGTATGCATACTGAGTCTGTGTCGTCTCGTTTAAAAGACATACACTTAGAAAAAAGGGTTCCAGGTAGAAGGGTAGAAAGGGCTCTACATGGAACCCAAAAGGGTTCTACCTGGAACAAAAAGGATTCTTCAAATGGTTATCCTACGGGGACAGCCGAATAACCTTTTTAGGTTGTAGATAGCACTTTATTTGAAGAGTGTAGGCCACCTAAATACGTGAGTGAGAGCAAGAGCTAGTTCGCGTTTGTTATCACATGAGCTACTGCTTCAATAGTTCTGATGACTCCAAGATAAGGAGCCAAGCAGTAGCTGCCAAGGTAATAATTTATCATAATGTACTGTAGTTTTGTGAATGGCTTTTGGCATAGCTGCTTCTGTCGATATCCATACAGCATATATACACTACCAGTCAAAAGTTTGGACACACCTACTCATTCAAGGGTTTTTCTTTATTTTTTACATTGTAGAATAATAGTGAAGACATCAAAACTATGAAATAACACATATGGAATCATGTAGTAACCAAAAACGTGTTAAACAAATCAAAATATGTTTTATATTTGAGATTCTTCAAATAGCCACCCTTTGCCTCGATGACAGCTTTGCACATGCTTGGCATTCTCTCAACCAGCTTCATGAGGTAGTCACCTGGAATGCATTTCAATTAACAGGTGTGCCTTCTTAAAAGTTACATAATGCGTTTGAGTCAATCAGTTGTGTTGTGACAAGGTAGGGGGGGTTTACAGAAGATAGCCCTATTTGGTAAAAAACCAAGTCCATATTATGGCAATAACAGCTCAAATAAGCAAAGAGAAACGACAGTCCATCATTACTTTAAGACATGAAGCTCAGTCAATACGGAACATTTCAAGAACTTTGAACGTTTCTTCAAGTGCAGTCGCAAAAACAATAAATCGCTATGATGAAACTGGCTCTCATGAGGACTGCCACAGGAATGGATACCTCTGCTGCAGAGGATAAGTTCATTAGAGCTACCAGCCTCAGAAAGTGCAGCCCAAATAAATGCTTCACAGAGTTAAAGTCACAGACACATCTCAACATCAACAGGTCGAATTGCTGCAAAGAAACGACTACTAAAGGACACCAATAAGAAGAAGAGACCTGCTTGGGCCAAGAAACACGAGCAATGGACATTAGACCGGTGGAAATGTGTCCTTTCGTCTGGAGTCCAAATTGGAGATTGTTGGTTCCAACCGCTGTGTCTTTGTGAGACGCGGTGTGGGTGAACGGATTATCTCTGCTTGTGTAGTTCCCACCGTAAAGCATGGAGGACGAGGTGTTATGGTGTGGGGGTGCTTTGCTGGTGACACTGTCTGTGATTTATTTAGAACTCAAGGCACACTTAACCAGCATGGCTACCACAGCATTCTGCAGTGATACGCCATCCCATCTGGTTTGGGCTTAGTGGGACTCTCATTTGTTTTTCAACAGGACAATGACCCAACACACCTCCAGGCTGTGTAAGGGCTATTTTACCAAGAAGGAGAGTGATGGAGGACTGCATCAGATGACCTGGCCTCCACAATCCCCCGACCTCAACCCAATTGAGATGGTTTGGGATGAGTCGGACGGCAGAGTGAGGAAAAGCAGCCAACAAGTGCTCAGCATATGTGGGAACTCCTTCAAGACTGTTGGAAAAGCATTCCAGGTGAGGCTGGTTGAGAGAATGCCAAGAGTGTGCAAAGCAGTCATCAAGGCAACGTGTGGCTATTTGAAGAATCTCAAATATAAAATATATTTTATTTGTTTAACACTTTTTTGGTTACTACATGATTCCATGTGTTATTTCATAGTTTTGATGTCTTCACTATTATTCTACAATGTAGAAAATAGCAAAAATAAAGAAAAACCCTTGAATGAGTAGGTGTGTCCAAACTTTTGACTGGTACTGTATATCTCACCATCGTTTAGACTTAATAGTAGAGAATCTTGCTGAATCCACATAGGGCCCTGGTCAAAAGTAGTGCACTATGTAGGGTATATGGTGCCATTTCAGATACAGCCATGTAATATATTCAATGTATTCTTTACCATTAATATTATACAATATACCTGCTTGGAGGTCAATAGAAAACTACAATACACTGTGTTCTTACAGCTTGCATATGTGGATTAATCCTTTATGAGGTTTCCCATAGATAGACACAATGGGCACACACACAGAGATAAACAGACACAAGCACAGATAAATCTCAAGCAGACAAGAAATCAATCAGTCTTGAGAGAGAGAGAGAGAGAAGGAAGGCTCTGTTCCGTTCTTCAACTGGAGGCATTTGATGCAGTGCTCCCCAAAGAGCTCTCATCTCCTTCTCGCTCCCAGAAAACTCTGTCTGAATGCTGTGTATCGGAGAGAGAGAAAGACCACACAGCACTAATGGGCCTGCGAGTCTGTTCTTTCTCTAAGCGCAAGGAAAAGAACAGAGTATCCCCCAGGATATGGTATAAAAAAATCTCAGAGCATCTGTCAGTTCCTAGGCCTCATCTGCATTTGATTGGATGACGCAACAATCACGACTATGTTGTAATGTTAATAATTACAATGTTAATGTCAAGGTTGATTTGTTAATTCCAAAATGAAAACTAAACTAAATGTGCTGTGGCGTACAGCAGGTCAGCCACCAGGGGGAGACTCGTCGAGGCCTGGTAACAGATGGAGTATACATCACGAGGAGGTGGCTCCATCTGCTGGACGTGCCAGGTCTCGACGGGCTCCCCGGACAGGACTAATTGGGGCTGATTGGGAGCTGGTGAGTAATTAAGGGCGGATTGCTCACCAGCTGTACAAGGCCCATGAAGCTGCCAGAAGGACAGCACATGGGGGAGGACTGGGGGAAGTAAGGTAACTTCCGTGTAGTTGGAGATTGTATCCTGGAGAGGATCTCATGGGGGAGACCTAACCTTTTCTTTTGATTATTTTATTAATAAACACCCTGGAAACTGAGCTAATCATACTCTGTCCGTGTCTGATCTGTGTAAAGGTCTTGACCCAACCCCCTGATCTGCAACAAGTGGTGGAGAATGTAGGCACATTGATAACGTGGTCAGATCAGGGTTGACGTTTACACAGCATCAGCATGGACGAGTTGATAGCTCAGTTCGTCCGGGCCCAACAAGCACAACAGGCGGTTCAGGAACGAACGCTGGAGGAACAGCGACTACAAAACGTCCGCCTCGTGGAGGAAGTCAGGAAGCTGCAAGGAGGAGCGTCTCCTGAAACCCATTCTAACCAGTTTTTAATCAAGCTAACGGAAGACGATGACATTGAAACATACCTCTGTACGTTTGAACGGACAGCGCTACAGGAAGGATGGCCAAGGCCGAAGTGGGCAAGTCTGCTGGCCGCGTTCCTCTCTGGGAATGCCCATTAGGCGTATTGGGACCTGAACGACGAACAGGCGGCTAACTACGACGGACTCAAACAGGAGATACTCAGCCGCTACGGGTACAGCCTGGCCCATCTGGCTCAACGGTTCCACGACTGGAGGTTCGTACCTGACGCATCCCCCCGAGCCCAGATTAACGACCTTCTGCGCGTCACCAGGGCATGGCTCCTAACCGACGTATCCACCCTCTCCCTCCTCGACAAAATGGTCCTGGATCGCTTCGTACGGGCGCTACCCCACGACATGAAGAGGGCAGCGAGCCTATGTGCGCCCCAGACCTTGGAGGGCCTCCTGGAAGCAGTGGAGACAGAACACTCAGGCCCTACTGAGGGGGAGCCGGGACGAGTCGGCGACCTATGCGAGGGGACGGAAGGACAACCACACTGCGGTGTACCCCGAACCGACAGTCGGCAGGGCCAAAGGACCGCAAACCCGTGGAGAGACGGCTGGGGAAGGGCCGACCCACCACCGACGACCTCAGGTAGATGGAGACCAACGGAGGTGTTTTGAGTGTGGCGCCCAGGGGCACATTGCCTGGATATGCCCTGCTCGAGAGGAGTTGATGCCATCAGCTAGCACCGGAGGCCAGGTGGGTCACGCCGTGAACTATGTCACCTCCTGTTGGGCGCACCATGAATCAACTGCACCCATGGTCCCGGTGAAGGTTGACGGACACGACACGGAAGCACTATTAGCCTCCGGAAGCATGGTTACGCTCGTAACCACGAGCCTGCTGAACCAGGAGACCGAACGGGGTAGGGAGATGTACATTTCCTGTGGTCACGGTGACACAAAGCGGTATCCCGCCATATGGACCATCATCGTGACACCACAAGGGAGCTGCCAGATGATGGTGTGTGCAGTACCAAAATGAAAACTAAACTAAATGTGCTGTGGCGTACAGCAGGTCAGCCACCAGGGTGAGACTCCGGTACCTATCCTAGTGGGACAGGATTGTCCGCTGTTCGCAGCCCTATGGGGCCACGAGTTGATAAAAAAGATACGAGCCGGCCGAAGAAGAGAGCGGGGACGACCCCTCGCCTGTGCGGCCAGGACGCCACCGGTTAACCAACCTGACTCTACGGGTCCGGAGTCGGAGGGGGAGCCGGAACCCGAACCCCCTGGGGAACCACTGGAGGAGGAGCCCAGCCTCCCCCTTCTCAATTTCGAGGGGCCAATCGAGACCCCAGTTGGGGGCCAACTGAGGGAAACATTCAGGACGGCCCAGTGGGAGGATCCAAATTTGAAAGCTGCCACAGCCCAAGTGGTAGTGGTGGATGGACAGCTACTTCCGAGGGTGAGTGACTGGCGATACCCCCATTTCCAAATTAAGAATAACCTTTTGTATCAGGTGTCGCGCCAACAGGAGAAACTTTGAGAGGTATTGTTGCTGCCCCGATGGTACGTAGGAACCGTTCTTCAGCTGGCCCACACCCACCTGTTGGGGGCGCACCTGGGAATGGAGAAGACCCGGGAATGGGTCGCCGCCCGGTTCCACTGGACCGGGATGAGGAGGGCCGTGGAAGACTACTGTCACAGCTGCCCGGAGTGTCAACTCACTGCCCCGAAAGCACACTTCCGAAACCCTCTGGTCCCCCTGCCGATCATCGGGGTGCCCTTTGAACGCATCGCCATGGACATAGTGGGACCCCGGTAAAGACTGCACGAGGACACAGGTACATCTTGGTAATAGTAGACTATGCCACCCGGTATCCCGAGGCCATTCCCCTACGGGCGGCGGTATCCAAGGGAATCGCCCGGGAGCTGTTCCACCTCTTTAACCGGGTGGTCATCCCGAACGAGATCCTGACAGACCAAGGTACAGAGTTTATGTCCCGCCTCATGAAAGAGTTGTGTGCCCTCATGCAGATCAAGCAGATCCGGACCTCAGTATTAACAAAACGCTCAAACAGATGCTGCGGAAGGTGATCGTGCAGGACGGGAAGAACTGGGACCAGCTGCTACCCCACCTAATGTTCTCAATCTGAGAAGTACCCCAATCCTCCACTGGGTTTTCCCCGTTTGAACTCCTCTACGGGAGGAGGCCACGTGGCCTACTGGTCATCGCCAAGGAGGTGTGGGAAGCCCAACTGACCCCCTTACGCAGCATGGTAGAGCAGGTGGAGACGATGCGGGAGCGGATGACAGCCATGTGGCCAGTCGTGAGGGAACATATGGAGAAGGCCCAACGCGCGGTGGGAGAGGGTGATGGTGTTGATCACCAAGGCCGAAAGTAAGTTCTTGGCAACATGGCACGGACCATACGAGGTAGTCGAGAAACTGGGACCTGTCAACTACCGCGTACGGCAACTGGGGAGACTGAAACCTCAACAGATTTACCACGTGAACCTGTTGAAGAAGTGGCATGAGAGGACAGCCTTGGCCGTGTTATGGTCGGGACCCAGGACGCCAATGGTACCAGTGGTGGTCCCCAGCAGTGAGGACCACGACCCGGCCAAGAAGCAAGAGCTCCGGGAGCTTGTCGATCGGAACACGGCGGTGTTCTCCGAGTAGCCGGGCCGCACGACCCTCATTGAACACCACATCCGTACCCGGCCCGGGGAAATGGTAAGAAAGAGGCCCGACGGAAGGCCGTGAAACAAGAAGTGGAGGCTATGCTGAGGATGGGGGTCATTGAAGAGTCCCACAGTGCATGGTGCAGCCCCATCGTGTTGGTGCCCAAACCGGACGGTAGCCTCCGCTTCTGTAATGATTTCCGGGGTGTGAACGACATAAGCGTATTCGATGCCTACCCCATGCCGAGGGTGGATGAGCTAATCAACCGATTGGGAAAGGCCCGGTACATCAGCACTCTTGACCTGACCAAAGGATATTGGCAGGTACCATTGGCAGCCTCCTCCCGGGAGAAGACGGCGTTCTCGACACCAGACGGTCTGTACCAGTACCGGGTGCTCCCGTTTGGTCTCCACGGAGCCCCGCCCACATTCCAGCGACTGATGAAAAGAGTGCTTCGACCCCACAAGCAGTATGCAGTGGCCTATCTGGATGATATCATCATCCACAGCCAAGGTTGGAAGGAGCACCTGCTGGACGCGCTCAGACAAGCCGGGGGGTGGCGTACAGCATGTCAGCCACCAGGGGGAGACTCGTCAAGGCCTGGTAACAGATGGAGTATACATCACGAGGAGGTGGCTCCATCTGCTGGACGTGCCAGGTCTCTACGGTATCCCCGGACAGGACTAATTGGGGCTGATTGGGAGCTGGTGAGTAATTTAAGGGCAGATTGCTCACCAGCTGTACAAGGCCCATGAAGCTGCCAGAAGGGCAGCACATGGGGGAGGACTGGGGGAAGTAAGGTGGTTTTTTGAGCTCTCCTAGCTGTGCCTTTGAGGAACTTTGAGAACTATAGCAAGCACACTTGTAGTTGTTTTCTTTGGAACACAGCCCTGCATCCCTGCCTTTACACATTAACTGTTGTTGTTTATGCAATCCAAAAACGGTCCATTTTAAATCGCAATCTGGGTCAGGTGGGAATAATTTGAAGCTTGTTCCATTGCCAACATGACTAGCTAAATTATAAAATACGATCTTACAGTGTTAGACTTTCACTAGGCAATTCAGAGAAGCAGATCGTAATTTTGGTGGCATAGAATGGAGTTATGAGTGCATTCAAATGCGTGGTCCGCATTTCTTCATAATAAAACAAACATAGGCTCATTCTGTTCAGGATAACCCAGAGTATAACGCTGTGTCATCTTGTAACTATACAGTACCAGTTAAAAGTTTGGACACACCTACTCATTCAAGGGTTTTTCTTTATTTTTACTATTTTCTACATTGTAGAATAATAGTGAAGACATCAAAACTATGAAATAACACATATGGAATCATGTAGTTACAAAAAACGTGTTAAACAAATCAAAATATGTTTTATATTTGAGATTCTTCAAATAGCCACCCTTTGCCTTGATGACAGCCCAAACCAGATGGGATGGCGTATGCTGTGGTAGCCATGCTGGTTAAGTGTGCCTTGAAATCTAAATAAAAGAGTATCCAAAGCTGTCATCAAGGCAAAGGGTGGCTATTTGAAGAATCTCAAATTTTAAATATATTTTCATTTGTTTAACACTTTTTTGGTTAATACATGATTCAAATAAAATATTTCAAATATATATCAAATTTTATTGGCCACATGTGCCGAATACAACAGGGGTAGACATTACAGTGAAATGCTTACTTACAGCCCTTAACCAACAATGCATTTATTTGTTAATAAAAAAAGTAAAATAAAACAACAACAAAAAAGTGTTGAGAAAAAAGAGCATAAGTTAAATAAAATAACAGTAGGGAGGCTATATATACAGGGGGGTACCGGTGCAGAGTCAATGTGCGGGGGCACCGGCTAGTTGCGGTAGTTGAGGTACATGTGGGTAGAGTTAAAGTGACTATGCATAAATAATTAACAGAGTAGCAGCAGCGTAAAAAGATGGGGTGGGGGTGGGGGGGCAGTGCAAATAGTTTGGGTAGCCATGATTAGCTGTTCTGGAGTCTTATGGCTTGGGGGTAGAAGCTGTTGAGAAGTCTTTTGGACCTAGACTTGGCACTCCGATACCGCTTGACGTGCAGTAGCAGAGAGAACAGTCTATGATTAGGGTGGCTGGAGTCTTTGACAATTTTGAGGGCCTTCCTCTGACACCGCCTGGTATAGAGGTCCTGAATGGCAGGAAGCTTGGACCCAGTGATGTACTAGGCCGTACACACTACCCTCTGTAGTGCCTTGCGGTCGGAGGCCGAGCAGTTTGCCATACCAGGCGGTGATGCAACCAGTCAGGATGCTCTCGATGGTGCAGCTGTAGAATTCCATATGTGTTATTTCATAGTTTTGATGTCTTCACTATTATTCTACAATGTAGAAAATAGTAAAAAATAAATAAAAACCCTTGAATGAGTAGGTGTGTCCAAACTTTTGACTGGTAGTGTACATCAAACAGTAATCATAAATGTTGACTGTATTTTACATGAGTTTTATTATATGGAAATGTAGACATTTGGACTCACGGTTATTTGGCTTGTTTGTATGACGTCTAACGGTATTTACTATAATGCTCAACATCTCATCTTGCAAAATACATTGAGTAGTCATAATTTACATAATTTCCCTCAGTCAGACAACAAAAAAGTTGCAAAAGGCCCAACTAGCAGGAGGGAGAATGGCTGTAAGTCAAAACCCATTCAGATCTGTATAGCATGTTACTGTACAGCCACTGCGTTCCAATTTAGGCACTTATCAGTGTAAAGGGCTACGGGTGTTGAATTTGGAATTATGCACTTTTCTTTTTGGGAAAAGAAGGACGTTTAAAATCTGGGATTCTAAAAGACAGAACCCAGAGCTCAGCGGGGTGCTGCTCTCAAAAGCTTCAAACTCCCTCCCTCCATCTCTCCCCTGCTTCTTTGAAAGAAGAACAGTTATCCCTTATTAGTTGTCATTAAAAAGAACAGTGGATAATGCAAGTTATTGTCTTGGTATCTCTTCTCTCACAAGAAAGTGGCTTCTTTGTACATTTTGGTGAACCTTCTGGTGAACTTTGTGCCTCATAAGGTTGTACAGAGAAGTTACTTTGTATCTCAACCGGCAGAAAGTTAATACTGTCCTTGAATCAAAACACCCATGACAATACAGTTGTCTTTTGTTCTTGGCGAAATGTTTTTCTTACTTGTAAAAAATCATATATGGACAGTTGAGTCCAGTGCATCCAATTTTTTACAAGAACAGACTGATAAGTTTATTTAAAAAATGATTCATGAATTGCATTTCTATCTATGTAAAGCAAATAATATAGCCATATGAATACAACCAGAACCCAACAAGAAAGCTATAGTCTTATAATGACAAACCCAACACAGTGGAACAGATCCATAGACAAGTAGCTATACTGTAGGTATACAGTAGGTACATATATTCTCACCACAGGGCTCTCCATGATGCCCTTGAGGAAGATGAGGTCCAGGTCATTGGCCATGGTAGAGCTGGTGCTGTCACTCAGAGTGTCCAGAACCTGCTGCATGGCTGGAGACAGACACAGGAGAGAAGAGGACAGTTAGGACTACCGGTTACTCACCGTTCCACATTTCCAATGTACACACTGAAGAAAGCTCTAGCCGAAACGTCTGGGTATGATGCCCCTGTGCAGTGTTTTAAAAACGGACAACTAAAGGAAGTTCTTTGCAACTACTTTTTGAGTGGGGACCTACTATATATTTTTGTATATCTGTACTTGCTGGTTTTACGCACCTACTCATTATTTGGGAGAGTCCCATGGTTTTCTTTTGATTAGTCACTATTGGTCAGCTCATTAGAGAGAGAGAGAGAGAGAGAAGAGAGAGCCGAAAGAGGAGAGAGAGAGAGAAGAGAGAGAGAGGAAGCTAAGTTCACCGAAAAGCATGAGAAAAAGTAGACTAAGAGAGAGAAAGAGAGAAGAGAGAGGTAAGCTAGTTCACACGCAAGCATGAGAAAAAAAGTATACTAGAGAGAGAGAGAGGAGAGAGAGAGAGAGAGAGAGGAGAGAGAGAGAGAAGAGGAGAGAGAGAGAAGAGAAGAGAGATAGAGAAGAGAGAGAGAGAAGAGAGAGAGAGATTAGATAGAGAGAGAGGAAATGCCTCACATCCTTTCCTAAGCAATTTCACCACGGTCAGTCACTTCTCTGTGAAGTCTCTTCCTGTCAGTGGAGACAGCATCTTACTTTCCCTCCTCCTTAGTCTCTCTCTCTCTCTCTCTCTCTCTTTTATCTCTCCAATGTAGAGTCACAGGAGGGAGAGAGGGGTCAGTGGGAACTCCCTTCAAAGCAACTCTACTTGTATTACTAAGAAGGTTGGCAGTGCAGTTGGTCCACTGGTTTTATATAACAAAAGGGACGCATTACAGCAAAGTTGACTGACTGACTGACTAGTGGCATGTATTCATGGATGCCAAGGGAAGCCAGGCTTCCCCAAAAAATTGACCCCCCAAAAAAAGCCAATCAGCGTTGAGCTAAACTGAGTGAGCTCAGCTGTGAATGGTCCTGGGGCACCAAAAATTAAGTGTCAAGGGAAGCCAGTTTGGATTGAGCTTCAGACCAATCACATTACAAGCCAAACGTCATTATTGACAGAAAAAAAACTTGAATTGTTGCATCTCGTTGTTGTGTTGTTGTCCTCCGGTGGCTAGCTAGCTAGCTAAAATTGGCCCTTTCCTAAATTAGCCATGGATGGAGATAAGGATTTGGACTTGTGGTTTTATTTTATTCTCCATACTGGCAAATGATTATAACAGCGATTCTGATCCAACGATAAATTCATACATTGTGCCCCTGGCCTGAGAGGATGGAAGTTCAACATGTAGCTAGATGTACAGTTGAAGTCGGAAGTTTACATACACTTTAGCCAAATACATTTAAACTCAGTTTTTCACAATTCCTGTCTTAGGTCAGTTAGGATCACCACTTTATTTTATGAATGTGAAATGTCAGAATAATACTAGAGAGAATTATTTCTTTCCGCTTTTATTTCTTTCATCACATTCCCAGTGGGTCAGAAGTTTACATACACTCAATGAGTATTTGGTAGCATTGCCTTTACATTTTTTAACTTGGGTCAAACGTTTGGGTAGCCTTCCACATCCTTCCCACAATAAATTGGGTGAATTTTGGCCCATTCCTCCTGACAGAGCTGGTGTAACTGAGTCAGGTTTTTAGGCCTCCTTGCTCGCACACGCTTTTTCAGTTCTGCCCACAGATTTTCTATAGGATTGAGGTCAGGGCTTTGTGATGGCCACTCCAATACCTTGACTTTGTTGTCCTTAAGCCATTTTGCCACAACTTTGGAAGTATGCTTGGGGTCATTCTCCATTTGGAAGACCTATTTGCGACCAGGCTTTAACTTCCTGACTGATGTCTTGAGATGTTGCTTCAATATCCACATAATTTTCCTTCTTCATGATGCCATCTATTTTGAGAAGTGCACCAGTCCCTCCTGTAGCAAACCACCCCCACAGCATGATGCTGCCACCCCCGTGCTTCACGGTTGGGATGGTGTTCTTCGGCTTGCAATTCACCCCCTTTTTCTTCCAAACATAACAATGGTCATTATTGGCAAACAGTTCTATTTTTGTTTCATCAGACCAGAGGACATTTCTCCAAAAAGTATGATCTTTGTCTCCATGTGCAGTTGCAAACCGTAGTCTAGTTTTTTTATGGCGGTGTTGGAGCAGTGGCTTCTTCCTTGCTGAGCGGCCTTTCAGGTTATGTCGATATAGGACTCATTTTACTGTGGATATACACTGCTCAAAAAAATAAAGGGAACACTTAAACAACACAATGAAACTCCAAGTCAATCACACTTCTGTGAAATCAAACTGTCCACTTAGGAAGCAACACTGATTGACAATACATTTCACATGCTGTTGTGCAAATGCAATAGACAACAGGTGGAAATTATAGGCAATTAGCAAGACACCCCCAATAAAGAAGTGGTTCTGCAGGTGGTGACCACAGACCACTTCTCAGTTCCTATGCTTCCTGGCTGATGTTTTGGTCACTTTTGAATGCTGGCGGTGCTTTCACTCTAGTGGTAGCATGAGGCGGAGTCTACAACCCACATAAGTGGCTCAGGTAGTGCAGCTCATCCAGGATGGCACATCAATGCGAGCTGTGGCAAGAAGGTTTGCTGTGTCTGTCAGCGTAGTGTCCAGAGCATGGAGGCCCTACCAGGAGACAGGCCAGTACATCAGGAGACGTGGAGGAGGCCGTAGGAGGGCAACAACCCAGCAGCAGGACCGCTACCTCCGCCTTTGTGCAAGGAGGAGCAGGAGGAGCACTGCCAGAGCCCTGCAAAATGACCTCCAGCAGGCCACAAATGTGCATGTGTCTGCTCAAACGGTCAGAAACAGACTCCATGAGGGTGGTATGAAGGCCCGACGTCCACAGGTGGGGGTTGTGCTTACAGCCCAACACCGTGCAGGACGTTTGGCATTTGCCAGAGAACACCAAGATTGGCAAATTCGCCACTGGCGCCCTGTGCTCTTCACAGATGAAAGCAGGTTCACACTGAGCACATGTGACAGACGTGACAGAGTCTGGAGACGCCGTGGAGAACATTCTGCTGCCTGAAACATCCTCCAGCATGACCGGTTTGGCGGTGGGTCAGTCATGGTGTGGGGTGGCATTTCTTTGGGGGGCCGCACAGCCCTCCATGTGCTCGCCAGAGGTAGCCTGACTGCCATTAGGTACCGAGATGAGATCCTCAGACCCCTTGTGAGACCATATGCTGGTGCGGTTGGCCCTGGGTTCCTCCTAATGCAAGACAATGCTAGACCTCATGTGGCTGGAGTGTGTCAGCAGTTCCTGCAAGAGGAAGGCATTGATGCTATGGACTGGCCCGCCCGTTCCCCTGACCTGAATCCAATTGAGCACATCTGGGACATCATGTCTCGCTCCATCCACCAACGCAACATTGCACCACAGACTGTCCAGGAGTTGGCAGATGCTTTAGTCCAGGTCTGGGAGGAGATCCCTCAGGAGACCATCCGCCACCTCATCAGGAGCATGCCCAGGCGTTGTAGGGGGGTCATACAGGCACGTGGAGGCCACACACACTACTGAGCCTCATTTTGACTTGTTTTAAGGACATTACATCAAAGTTGGATCAGCCTGTAGTGTGGTTTTCCACTTTAATTTTGAGGGTGACTCCAAATCCAGACCTCCATGGGTTGATACATTTGATTTCCATTGATAATTTTTGTGTGATTTTGTTGTCAGCACATTCAACTATGTAAAGAAAAAAGTATTTAATAAGATTATTTCATTCATTCAGATCTAGGATGTGTTGTTTAAGTGTTCCCTTAATTTTTTTGAGCAGTGTAGATACTTTTGTACCTGTTTCCTCCAGCATTTTCACAAGGTCCTTTGCTGTTGTTCTGGGATTGATTTGCACTTTTCGCACCAAAGTACGTTCATCTCTAGGAGACAGAACGCGTCTCCTTCCTGAGCAGTATGACGGCTGCGTGGTCCCATGGTGTTTATACTTGCGTACTATTGTTTGTGCAGATGAACGTGGTACCTTCAGGCATTTGGAAATTGCTCCCAAGGATGAACCAGACTTGTGGAGGTCTACAATGTTTTTTCTGAGGTCTTGGCTGATTTCTTTTGATTTGCCCATGATGTCAAGCAAAGAGGCACTGAGTTTGAAGGTAGGCCTTGAAATACATCCACAGGTACACCTCCAATTTACTCAAATTATGTCAATTAGCCTATCAGAAGCTTCTAAAGCCATGACATCATTTTCTGGAATTTCCCAAGCTGTTTAAAGGCACAGTCAACTTAGTGTATGTAAACCTCTGACCCACTGGAATTGTGATACAGTGAATTATAAGTGAAATTATCTGTCTGTAAACAATTTACTAAACAAATTACTTTTGTCATGCACAAAGTAGATGTCCTAACTGACTTGCCAAAACTATAGTTTGTTAACAAGACATTTGTGGAGTGGTTGAAATACAAGTTTTAATGACTCCAACCAAAGTGTATGTAAACTTCCGACTTCAACTGTATTATGCTAATGTTAACTAGCTGGCCTGGCGTATCATTGCCCATGAAAGGAAGTTAGGCTAGCGAGCAAGTATTTTAGCCAGGTAGTGTAGGACAACAAAAACTAAAAGCGTGTACTGTATGACATAGTGATAGACAGTTTCATCAATATGAAAGAGAGGAGGATGGCATTGGTGTTTCTCTACAAGTAGGGTGAGTCAACATGTTTTTTCTGCTTGCACACACACACAGAAATCAGTACCATGGACAACCACATCATATTTAGCTTACGTTGATTGGACTAAATCATTTTTGGTATCTTTTAGTTGTCACTGTATTAGACTAAGCATAGGTGATTAGATGATGTTGAAATGTTAAAGTTGAAATGGTGCTGGAATAGTGGAGGCAGCTCCTGTTTTCTTTGCGACCTGGCGTAACTCTCCGTGGTTCTAAATCAATAGTTGTTTAGTAGTCCGAAAATGTCAGAAACATTACCT